GATAATAGACTTTGCTTAGCTTAGGGTCAGACGGCCATTTGGGAGACATGGTAAGTTAATAAGAAAAAAAGAAGAAATGAAGCATTTTTATAATAGCCAGAAGAAGAATGATCCACGTAATATTGTGTCAGGTTGCCTTACACTTGGCCTTAACTTTTGACATTTAATACAGCTAGATATTTTTTGAAATACTTTGAGTCCAATGTCCCCTCTTCCATAAAATAGATATTAGGTATACATAGTACATGAGGGTTTACATACAGCGACAAATTTATCTATAATTGTACAATCTCTATTTTGATAGTCTTGTTAATTTGATGTAATTATAATGCCAAAAATTAAATAAACATCTGTTTTGATGGTAAGAAAAGTACTTAAAGAACGTTCAGCTCAACCGGAGTTGTATCCGGAAACCCGGACAGGCGTTAAGCAATTCTTTAGTTTTTTACCGAGTCAGTGAGGTCACCAGAGCCCAAACCCCTTCCCCTCCTGATTCTGTGGAGGGGAACACAAAGGGTAGCTTGGGACTCTTGGGTTGCAAATGTCAATGGGTGGCGATAGTCACTTACCATCAGGTGACCCGTGTGTCTAACATTTTAGGTAAAAATGTTAAATATTATGATGAAGAGGCACATTTATTAAATGATGCCGTTTAATTCTTATAATCACTAGCTAAAGTTATCTTAATTGCTAGTACTTAAAATACCTACATTAATAACATAAAAGATCAGACAGGCTATTACTTATTAGTAAGGCTTTAAAATGTTTATTATTAGGATTTTTGAAAAAACTTCAGTTCTCTATACGTAGGTTCCCATAATTGTAAGATGAGTGACGAGCCTACCGGGGGGCACCTAATGCTATTATGTACCCGAACACTAAAAAAAAAATCCGCCGACTAGTTGAAATGTTTATGCCTTTTTTTTGGCCCGCTTCTGCTAGGGCGACAAATGGCCTCACCCCCAGGCACTCGCACAGTTGTCAGTTTCCAACTTGCAAATCGGTTTCTGAGGAAAATCACATGTAACCGTGAACGTTCAGACCTAGTAACAGCCACTGGTCAGCGCATACTCGTCCGAGGCGAACAGAAGGTGGGGTTGAAGCTGGGCATACAAGTTTATCTGCATAACGTCATCGTGGCGGATTTAGCTGACGACTGCATCCTTGGCTTAGACTTCATGAGGAAGAATGGTTGTGAGTTCCGCAATAAGTAAGGTGTAATGAGATGTAGTCAAAAAGAACTGTTCATCATCAGGAAAAGTGTACAGCTTGTTTAAGTTGTTCTTCCTCTCAGATCAGAAACAATCGTGCCAGTTAGTCTTCCTCATACCTCTGGACAATGGCATCGGTGTTTACTTATTGAAAGGTTGGATAATGACCTTCCATGGAAAATCTCACGAACTCTAGTAAGTACCGCTAACATCTCTGCAGTACGTGTGTTTAATCTTAGTGATAGGCAACACGTGATTCATAAGTGCACACTGACTGGCACTTGCGAGGATGTGGATTGGATGCGTTGATGCCAAGACCTGACTACTGTACATATTGGCAAGGATACAGGAAACAACGTGTCAACACTTTTGGAAGACTGTCGAGATGCTTTGTCTACGGAAGAAATTGACAAGGCTAAGAAGATGTTAATTAAGTACGCCGATATTTTCTCTTCTAAGGACGCTGATATCGGAAATACGGGTTTAGTTCAACACAAAATTTACATCGGGAACGAGTTGCCTATTCGTCAGCGACCAAGAAGATTACCGGCGGCACGAGAAATAGAGGTTGAAACCATGATTGAAGGAATTGTGAGGGACGGCGTTATAGAGCCTTCATCCAGCCCATGGTGTTAACCTGTAGTGCTTGTAAAGAAAAAGGATAGCAGTATGCGTTTTTGTGTTGACTACCGGTGTTTGAATGATGTTACGAAAAAGGACAGCTACACATTACCAAGAATAGATGACACACTGGATATGCTGACAGAATAAAGTGACCTTTATCATCTTAGAATTGAAAAGGGGCTACTGGCAGGTAGAAATTGATTCTAAGGACAAAGAGAACATTGCGTTTTCTACAGGGAAGGGATTGTGGCAGTTAAAAGTTATTGTGTAACGCGCCAGCAACTTTTGTAAGACTGATGGAGCTAGCACTCACCGGCTTAACTGGAGACGCCTGTCTGGTCTATTTGGCTGACATTTTCATCGTTGGCCGTAGGTTTGAAGAACATACTCGAAACCTGGAATGTATGTTATCAAAAATCCGAAGCGCCAACCTAAAGTTTAATCCTAATTCATTAATTTTTCAAACGGCAAGGAAGATTTTTAAGATATGTGGTTTCGGCAGAAGGTGTCCAAACAGATCCGCAAAAGATCGTCGCCAGTTCAAGAGATAAGACCCAAGTAATTGCATTTTTAGGTTTGTGATCCTACTATCAGCTATTCGTGAAAAACTTTGCGGATATTGCGAAACTGAAGAGAAAAGACATTTCAGCTGGGTTGCAAGTTTTAGAGTGAGTGTTTGTAAATACAATGCAATAAAAGTAATTAACCAACAACTTTTATTTATTATTTACCCCGCTCGTAACAATATGTTTCTTGTTATATCCGTAAATATGCAATAGAAAATATAGCAAAATAAAGTCATGTTGATATTTTGTAAATGCGGCGAGACATCCATAAAGATTTAGCGAGGTATATATAGATATGTGAAATTGGGGCTTGAAGAGTTAGGGCGTGTAGAGTTAGAAATTTGGCTCCACATGAGATCTGATAACTTTTAGACAGTGCGAACCATATGGTCTCTCCTTGGCAACATTTTACATGAAAATGTTTTTAATGGGATTTCACTTATTTTGTAACTTGCTTGTGACAATTTTATTTTTATTTTGCTTATCTTTTCTTTCTTTTTTTTGGGGCGTATTACTTGCACATCAGAGGTGCTTTTTTTCATAACCCACCCTCTATCATTGCCTTTCTACTTTTTTACATAAAGAACAATGGCAGAAACATATTTACCTAAAACTTAAGCGTTTAAAAAATCGAGTCACAGTAAACTTAATCAATTTTTTTTTCTATGATTTATCATTACACCACCATGTGTTGTATAAGTCTTATAAGAGATAAGATATTTTTGAAGATTTTATTTGACCTAAGTACGTAATGTCAGATTCGCCATCACGTATAACTGACTAGGGATGCGTGGTGGCAATATTATATTATGGAACAATTTATCGATAATCGATTCTTATAGCTTTGGCTGAAATATTTTCCGAAGGTTCACTATTATGATTATGAATTTGCTTCTGCCCACATCTTCACTCGTACGGTAGAGTGACTGAATCAACATAATTAGAAATGATTTAAAATATTTTTGACTCTCTTTAAACGATTTCAAACACACTAAAGAAATAGAATATAGTTACGTTATTTTCCACTACACAGTGTGATGAGAAAAATACATTGTCTTTGATAACGGCACATAAATAGACATACATCGATATTTTCAAAATGTCGATACGTCGTCGTTTAGTACATATCTCTTAATCTGTGGTTTAGATCCTGTCAAGTGCCGGACTCACCACGTTTGTTATTTTATTTTTGTTTAATTTAGGGTTAAACTCGAATAGATGTTATGCTTTTATTTTATTTTTTTCATATACTGGAATAATAATGAAAATAATATTTTCGGCTATCTGACACACAACGCCATCTAGTTTCAAACAATACATTAACAATATGTTAGTACTTAACCTCGAAACATTCAAAATCCAATATCTTTTTTCCTAGACTTCTTTCGCAAGTAATTTTGATATGAGAATGGTCAAGAATAAATTCTCAAGTGTTAAGGATTTTTTGATATTTAAACGCTAACATTTCAGTTCAAATAAAATTATGTATGGGGACCTGCCATTGTCCTTTATAAAGATTCATGCACCAAAACTTCTACAAACATCCAACCTCTAATTTAAGGGATGGGGGCGTAAAAGATTCAAGTTTTAGTTTTTGTTGTTTGTGTACTAGTACTAACTTACATTTCAAATTTCAGCTTTCTTCTTAAAAATTTTGACGATCATCAGTGAGTCAGCGACAATATCGGTTTCTAGTTGTCAATAAAATCTAAAGTATAAAAACTACACAATAGAAGCTTTATATGTGTAATAAGTTCAGTATTGACACCATATACCGAGATTTTGTTTATGTGGTACAATCCAAACACTTCGAGAAAAGGTAGGTAATGCCTGGCTGCACTATCGTTCCCCTAGGTAGTTTGATTTTTAAGTGTTTTTATCTAATAATTCTATTTCTAGATTTTGCTTTGCTTAGTAACACACATTTTTAATCCTTACATACTATAATATTTTACTATTAGATCTATTGTTGTTTACTAATAAAATCTTATAGAAATATAAATAATATTACAGAAGCAAGGCGTATGGTTGGAAGAGTAAGCTTAATCAAATATTATTAATAAAGTATCAACAGTTTTATAATCGGTCTGACGGCTTTGGAAAGTACAAATGATGATAAAAATTACTTTAAAAATGAAAATTAGGATTTTTGCTATTTTTCGATGATTGCTATTAAACTTTAAATCATATTTGAAAGACTAATTTTCTTAATTTAGTTATAGTCTTACGCCTGGTAAAATAGAATTCAATATCTTGACACATTAAACACATGTGCACATGTACCTACATAAGCTTATAAAATTTACTATAAACTTTTAAAATGTTATGCATATGGACTATATCGTGTAATTTCTTGACTTCAAAGATAGCGCAATATTTAAACTGATCGTCATGATGAGTAGTATGTTTGATTCCTCTACACATATCGATAAATGTATGTCATCCACAAAGCGCTGTCACAAGTCGAGATGTTTTTTTGTGTCCGTTGTTTCCTTGTAGAATTCCTTATCATCATCATCACCTTATCGCAGTCAACTTCTAGCCTCTCTGTGAAAATTCATCTCAACACACGAATTATTAGGACATGATTTGATTACCACTAGGAAACATTAGCATAGAGTCCTGTTTCACATTTTCTACTAATTCCAGCACCTTGTGCGATATTAACATATCTCTCAATACCACGGTATGATATTCTTTTCTCGTCAGTAATACACTCGTATATGTGATAATCATTTTCCGACGTACTTAGAGTGGTCGGTCTTGAAGACTTTAGTTCCAAAGCGATATCATCAAATGACATCTGTAAAGATTTCAAAATTGCATTTTAAAAGAGTATTTGTTTTTATAAACAGCTGTAGTCGTATGAACAAGGTTTTAATTTACTAAGTGGTTCTCGATCCAACCCATCCAAGGCAGGACAATAAATGACAGACAGGTGGCTGGCTTCTGGCTTGTCTTGTTTAACTATCACTCAATTAAGTCCAATTCAATTCAGTTAAGTCAATTATGAGTTAGTCAAGTTAAACATTTTAACATTGACGACCGGATGTGGTACTGGTTTGTATAACAGACTGCTAATTGAAAGGTCGGGGGTTCGATTCTCGCTCATGTCAAACATTTGTGTGCATGAACATTTAATGTTTGATTTGGTCTGGGTGATGTACGAGTATAATATGTATAATATATGTATTTATATCAGTTGTCTAGTAGCCATAGTACAAGCTCTGCTTAGTTTGGGACTAGATGGCGTTTTGTGAATGTGGTAAAAAAAAAAACACAAAAATGTGCATTATTTATTATTAAGTCTTTACAAAATTTTAGGACTATTAAATTAAGCATTTAATGGGTACTCTTGTGTCTATTAAATGCATAATTTTAAGGAAGACTTCAAAAACTTTATATCAATAGGATTATTTAATGTGGAATTAGAGGGGTTCAAATAAAATGGCTCAAAGGTCATACTAATATTATAAATGCGGAAGTATGCGGAAACAAATAAACAACAACAAATAGACAGACTATTTGTTGTTGTTTATTTGTTTCACGCTTAAACCGCTGAACTGATTTAAATGAAATTTGGTACAGATATAAGGCCAAGTACCGGGCGAAGCGGTAAGAAGGTAGTTTGATACTTATAGAAGGACGTATAGGGACGTTAAAAACCAAAGTATAAAATAAAAGAAAGAGAGTAGTAGAGTTTGAAAGCCGCTTTAAGATTTAAAAATAGATGGGTATATTACTCACCTTGCTAGAGTCTTTCTGGCGTCTTCTCCACCAATAGCGGTACAGTAAAAAGAGTACAAGAATTATTACAACAATGCCCGCTAGAGAACAGAAGATTATCGTGTATGTGTCTTGAAGTTGATAGTATTCTGATGTATTTCTTTCTACGGAAATAATTGTGAAAAATAATATTATTATAAAATATAATGGACTTGTAAGATGTTGTTTGTTTCTTCTTTTTAATTTTTCTATTACTTAATGTAAGTAATACATATTTAGTAATATGTATTTCTTACATTAAATAATAGAAAAAAATATTTTCTACTTTTTAGTTCCGCTAGTTAGATAAGCGCATTTTTTAGTTTCTTTTTAACTATAATTTATTTACAAATTCATGCCAAATTGCAGTATATTCCTGTTAAACTTACTTCTTTCTCCTTTACAGCTTTGGTACTTAACTACACTAACTAACTACTACTTAACTCACATCACACATCAACAGCCTTTAATAGTCCACTGCTGGACATAAGCCTCTCCTTAGAAACGAGGTTTTGGCCTACTATACCACTTATTGTAGACCACTACTTAACTACAAGAGATAAAATAGACCTATTCTACTTGTCGTTTCTTCTAACTACTATTTTCTCCATAGAATAGATAGAATATCTGGTTGTTTTTCATCAACTTATAAAAATAACTTGGGACTCACTTTTTTGATGCAGTCTTATAATAGCTTGTCCCCACTTTTCTTGTGAAATTGAGCCGGTATCATCTGTTCCACGTGTTAACAAACATTGAATCGTCTTATTATCTAAGCTCGAACTTAACTGAAATTCGCTTTGAATACTATAAGGTGAAATTTGCTTCGTCACTGAAAACGAATAATGGCATAATTTTTTCTAACTGTTGATACTTATGACTCAGGACCCCGAATTTCATACACTTGCTAAGTTGTACTGCAAAATGTAGAACGAAATAGGGTGTGGGTTTTTTATGAGATATGGGACTGGTAATGTTTTTAAAACATTATATTGTTATGTGAATGTACATTACATACTTTAATGGTTTCGATTGGCTTCGAATCACTTCAGTTGGGTATATTATTTTGTTTTACATAATCTTATTGCTAATTACAAGACTCTGCATATAGGTACTCTTGGGAGAGCTATTGACATTTTATTATTATACTATGTTATATACATACGAGTATTCTGATATTCCAATTTTTGTTTGACCAAATAATTATGTAATTGGTTGAACTTTAGAAATATGGTTTTTGAACAAGTTTTAATAAAAAATAATATCAGTAATAATAAATAAATAATATATTAAAAATGATCTACCTAAGACCGATCACGCGGGGAGATCTTTTCACGATTTCGCCCTGACCTATGGCTTGTCACAACTGGTATAAACGCCCACGCGAGTTCCGGATGTGGTAAGTCATGAGCCTTCACTGTTGGACCTTCTGCTGATCTCCGATCCGGAGGGTTACAAAATCGCCGTTGAAGCCCCACTTGGCTCCTCGGATCATTGTCTAATCCGCAGTATAGTGTATAGCACTATAGATCAGCAGACTGGGATGGGATGCGTTCCTTCTTTGCGTCCTACCCAGGCAGATTTGTTTCTTGCCGGATGATCCCACCGTCGTTGCTGGTTCTGTCACTGATGTAGTCTTCAGGGCATAGAGCTATTTGTTCCTTCTACATTAATTCCCATTGGTGGCAGATCCAAGCCCTGGTTCGTCAGATCCTGCAAAACAGCGTCCCGCCGAAAGCGGGAATGCTGGAAAATGCAGCGACGGCAGGCAATGTAATACCAGCACGCTAAAAAACAATTTAACTTTGCCTCCAGGTCCCTTAAAAGAGCCATTGCTAGGGCGAAGCCGGATCGGTGAGAGACTACTGAGACTTCCTTCTGGAACTCGTGCATTCTGGTCTCTTGCCAAGGCTGTCCAGGGGAATTTCTGTAGCCAATCCTTTCCACCCCTGCAGATGGGAGATAAATCTTTCGCTTACGATGCCAAGGAGAAAGCTGATCTCCTAGGCTAATTCTTTGCATCCAACTCGACTTTGGATGACGAGGGAAACGTACCGCTGACCATACAGCCGTGCCAGAGCTCTATGCCGGATATCCGGTTCACCCAAAAATCAGTGCGTAAAGCACTCTTTTCCCTTGACATTCAAAAGTCACAGTCGCAGTCGTAGTGTGGGCCCGATGGAATTTCCTATCGTGTTGAAGACGTGTGCTCCGGAGTTGCCACCGGTTTTAACGCGCCTTTTTCGTCTCTCCTACTCAGAAGGCGTCGGCCAGACCTCCTGGAAGGTAGCGTTTGTGCACCCGATCCCTAAAAAAGGTGACCCCCTCTGACCCGTTCAACTACATGCCTATAGCCACAACTCCATTGTTCTCCGAGATTATGGAATCCATAATCAACAGCCAGCTCCTCCGATACTTGGATGATCACCAGTTGACCCACAATATGGTTTTCGCCGGGGTCGCTCAGCTGGTGATCTTCTCGTCTTTCTAACACACCGGTGGGCACAGGCGATCGAGACCAAAGGATAGGATTGTGCGGTTAGTTTGGACATAGTGAAGGCCTTTGACCGGGTCTGGCATAAGGCGCTTCTCTCGAAATTGTGTAATTAGGTCCTAGCTTCCTTGCGGACAAAAGCATTAAGGTCGTTGTTGACGGTGCATGCTCTTACTTCAAATTCGTAAATGCTGGTGTCCCACAAGGCTGTGTGCTATCACCCACACTGTTTCTTCTGCATATCAATGACATGTTCCAAACTATTAGCATCCATTGCTATGCAGATGATAGCACAGGAGATGCCCTTTGGTATAAAGGGCATCTCCTGTGCTGGGCCGCCCCAATATTTCTCGGGAAAACGTCATCGAGAGTCGAAACAAACTTGTGTCTGAAATTGAAACTTCCTTAGCGGAGGTTTCAGATTGGGGCCGACTAAATCTAGTCCAGTTTAACCCAAAAAACACACAGCTATGTGCGTTCACCGCAAAAAAGCTACCATTTGTCGTATCACCTCAGTTTGAGAGCACCTCCCTAACTGCCTCAGCCTGCATCGCCATTCTTGGCATCGACTAATCTAGCGAAGTCTAGTTTCGGGGTCACTTTGAGGGTAAGGTCGAATTGGCCTCGAAGAAGCTCGGTGTCCTGAACAGATCCTTCAGCTCTATAAGGCGCAAGTCCGGTCGCATATGGAATACTGTTCTCATCTCTATGCAGGGGCACCTCAGTACAAGTTTTTCCCTCTGGACCGCATCCAACGAAGAGCGACTCGAATCGTCGATAGCCCAAACATCTCCGATCGGCTCGATCCCTTGGCGTTACGTAGAGATGTGGCTTCACTCTGCATTCTCTATCGCATATATCATGGAGAGAGGAATTTTTCGGACTAATACCAGCCGCAAATTTCCGCCATCGTTCCACACGGCAATATTTTCATCCTCATTACCTGGATAGTTGGCGCTCCACTACTGTGCGCTTTTCGAGACACTTTTTGCCCCGCACAACCAATCTGTGGAACGGGATATCGTCTGTGGTATTTCCGACATCCATCATCCGGTATTACGACCTTCAAACCTTTAAGAAAAGAGCGTACTCCTTCCTAAAAGGCCGGCAACGCGTTTGTGACTCCTGAGTTGCAGACGTTTATGGGCGGCGACAGTCACTTTCCATCAGGTGACCCATCTGCTCGTATGCCCCTTCTAACATTAAAAAAAACCCTTCAGTAATATTAATAATAAAATATATCCATTTTTTAATAAGAACGGAATTTAGAAATTTGGTTACCTGGGCTTATAAAAGTTATTACACTTTGAAATGTGTAACGGGATGGCGTGTAACAATTAAGATTCAAGCGGTCACCATCATCAAACTCGTAGTATATGACGTTTTGTCCCTCGTAATTATAAAAATCCATTAATACTTTCTCCCTTGGTAAATCTACAACAAGTTGCGGTCTGTTATCTATAAAATATTAAAAACAACTTAAATATTTCTATGTCCACTTAATATAAAGGTAATATTAAATTAAACTAAATCAGAACTTCAATTGTGTTATGATATTAGTTATTTATTTATTTTAATTCCCAAATTTAATTAATTGGTTTTTATAATTATTTACTTAATGTTTAATAATTATAATTATGATAATTAATAAGAAAAAAGATAATAAAAATTAAATTTATTTAATTGATCATCATCATCATCAGCCTATCGCAGTCCACTGTTGGACATAGGCCTCTCCCATTACACGCCACTTAGATTAAAAATAATTAATACTAATACAGACTTACATTTCAAATTTAAATGTGTTTGATTGTTTGTTTGTTACGCTTTCATGCCTAAACTACAAAACCGATTTTAAAAATTCTTTCACCAATTCATTGTGTTGATTCATCAACATTCATCATGTCATTACATTATCATCGAGTAGAATAGACTACTTTTTAGCGCGATAACCGATATACACGCAGGTGGAGCCGCGGGCAAATGCTAGCATTTTAATAAAATGGGGGGTCAGGTCCATTATCTTTATCATTTTCTCACAACCAATCGTCATGAAATATTACAAGCACGTTGTCAGGGGTACGTGAATACACCAGGGACTTCCTTTCTTGGGTAGACCTGGTTCCCCGGCTATTAGTACCCGAGACGGCGTGGGTTTTAGTCGGTTCGAGTCCGACATGCCACCGATAGGTGGTATCCGGGGGGATTTCCGCACGGGTGGAAAAAAAAGGGTTACGCGAATAAGACATGAAGTTCCTTCTATCCACAAAATTAATTATTTTATGAAAATGTCAAGCTTATCATTCTACCACTAAGGTTAGGTATTGAATGGCCTGTTGTGTTTGTCAAAAGTTGACTTGATGATCTGTTTTGTCATTTCATTTCATTCATTTGATGCACTGTTTTGTCATTTCATTGCCAAAACCAACTGAAAAGATGCAGGGTTTTGGCACAGATGATAGCATATTCGAGTCGATATATGTCATCATCATTTTCATCATCAACCGCCTTTAATAGTCCACTGCTGGAAATAGGCCTTCCTTTAGAAAAGTGGTTTTGGCCTACTACCACGCTGGCCGGGTTGCTATAGCGTTTGTTTCAAATTTTCCTTATCTTTGCAGTTCTATTGTCCTGCAGAGTCTGCTCTCCCTTAATCGGGTCTTACGAAACCCATGTGATGAATAGGGGTGACACTCCATATACTTAATCGGATCACTACATGGATATCGATGTATGTATTCCTGTATAAATATAAATTTACCTGCCTAATAAAGGAAAACGTATAACTTCAAATAGTAATTCCATTTGCTTTTGTTTTCTTTTTTCATCCTCTGCTGTAAATGTTAGATGACAATTATCACAAGATATTTTTAAGTGGATGTTCCTTTTGGTTTGATCTGGAATATTAAAAATAAAAATTAGAAATCAATGCAAAGTTGTATTCACTATAATAAATTTATAAAACATTTTACGCTAATAGTTTTTTTTGGTAAGGCCAAAAATGAGCCAACTGGCCACCTGAATGAAAGTGACTAGCGCCGTCCATGAACGCCTTTAAGAAGAGAGCACGCTCTTTTCTTGCAGGTCATAGATCACTGTAAAATCGTGAACAATGGTAAGATTGGCCAATAAAATCTGAGATTTACCAAATAAAGTTAAAAGACCGAGGCGGTAGGTAAACTTTAACTTTGGTTACTCTTAGTAATACTTAAATTTTACCACAGTGAAAAGGTAAAATATTTATCATCAACATCATCATCGACAGCCTTTAATACTCCACTGTTAGTCATAGGTCTCTCCTTAGAAAGGAGGTTTTGGCCTACTATATCACGCTAGCCAGACGGGTTGGTACATGGTTTGTGTGCGTAGTTCGTAGTTTGCTCCCTCACTCCACTCTTACGACACCCATGTTTATAGAATTTATGTTTCTACAGATAAGAGGAGGTGTGAAATATACTTACTTAAGTAACGTATCTTTGCGTTTTGGCTTAGAGCGTTTGTATTCATGTGTAAGACCACGTCTTCCTTATTTGCGTCACATTCTATATTTATGTACTCCTTCTCTTGGAAAGCATTTGTCATTAAGATATAGAATCGTTTTACTGGTCTTGGTCTCACTTCTCTTACTACTAAGCTGTTTATTTTAAGATTGAGTACATCTGTAACCGTAAATAATAGGTTAATTAATTTTACTCAATTATTTATCAATTTATTAAAATATGGAAAAGGTTATGGGTATTTCCTTGACACTTCAAATTTAGACGGTGCAACAAACAGAACAACTACAACTTGAGCTCTTACCGTATGTATGACCTCAAGTTATTTACTTTACTGGCTCACTCTCATACAATAAGTCTTTATCATCATAATTTTCCTCTTTTACCAATTTCGTTTGGATTTTTAATAGCCATCCGTCTGCTTGAAGCCAATCCACCTTGGGAGTATAATCATTTTCAGAGTGGACAAAAGAAGAAGATGTCACCACCATTGTGCATCCCGTGGGTGTCGAAAGCGCTAACTAAGGGAGCCAGAACAACAGCACTGCAAAGAGAAAGAAAAACTGAAACAAACCCTATACCGACGCACCGTTAAATTCGCCCATCCGACCGACTAAGTCTAAATGCCAAAACAGAAAAGAACATTATTCTACTAATCTTTCTGTTGATGATATTCCTTTTAATAAAACATTATGGCTTGTACTTACTATTAAACGCATGTTGTAAAATAAAGGTAACTAAAATAGTTTCCTGACAGTCGATACAGTTGCATGTGATTTGGCTGTAATTATGCGCGACCTCTAGCCTAAAGCGAAAGCCGACTCCGTAACTCGAATACTTGCTCTTAAATGCATCTGTAACATTATTTATATTTAATTAAACATACAAATACTCAACCCTATCTCCTCAATCATGATCCCACTCATTAGGTTTTCTTGCAGTTCATATGCGGAATCATATATTTATACTCTTAAATTCGTAAATCAGCAACTAAATATGTTTGTTGAAAATAAAATTATTATAACTCTAATTCCCATAGTAAACGGTTTATCGCCAACCTAATATTGTAGGTAATCACATTAATTTCCCTATTTTACGCGTTCACAATTGTAGGATAATTTGTAGTAGCGAATTTATACCCATATAAGGTATTTAACAACCGTTGTACCTACTTCCAGGGTAAATCCAAGAGTACCACAAATCACCACTGCCAATAATTAAAACACAGGTATTACCGAGAATTCCATTTGATCAAAAATAATCCTTTCCCTACAAGTACTCCTTCGCAATCAAACCATACCTCGATTTTAAATCGATGAAAACCATCTAGTAACCCACAAAATATATGTCACTAAACTCAAAGGAACAACCATTACAACAACGTAATAACCAAATTTAAATAACAAGGTTCATTATGACTGCACGGATGGCGTAGTGGTTTAAGCGGTCGCCACGCCGCTTCCTACAACGCCGAGTGTTGTGGGTTCAAACCCCACATGGGACGACACCTTGTGTGATCCACAAGTTGTTGTTCTGAGTCTGGGTGTTCTTTGTGTCCGTTTCATGTATGTTTGTAAAGTCCCCCGCGACACAGGATATATTCCTAATGCGGGAGTTGTATTTTAAAAAGAAATCAGAAAGAAAGAAAATTACAGTGTAACGAAAATCCATACTTATAAATGTAAAAGTAGTTTGTTTGTTACGCTTTTACGCTTAACCTCTGATATGCCGCTACACTGTACAGTGCTTACCAGTGAAAGCACTTTACAGTGTAGCGGCATATCAGAGGGGCATGTGAAGAGTTATAGCCCACTAAATTGCCTACAAATTTAAATAAAGTAACAGGCTACTTTTTTTAAAGCTTTTATTTTTAAAGCTGGTTTATAATAAATTTTCGAAAGAAATGTGACACTAAAAGAAACCACTTTCTTCAGCAACATTATCACACTTACAAATTATTAATCATGTCGCATTCTTAAGAAAGCTAGATATCTCCGATTCACCAATTTTTATTTGCAAATCTAATTCCAAAAGTGCCGGGGTAACAAAGCAGACAGTAGAGGTGAGCGCTGACGCGTCGCAAGGAGTACTCTCTAAACCTACTTGGTTTCAAATTAGTTATGCCGTCACACCTTATTTACTAAATATTATATTGAATACAGGTTGTTAAGACGATAAAAACAGAGATAGAATACCTAGTGATGTGCCGGTTTGATAAAAAATTATATCTGCGGATACGGATCTGCACATACGGATACGGTTACATTGCAACAACCGTTGACGTTGAGAATGAAATGGCATGACTTGTTTCGTGGCACACTACGCTTATTACTTTAAACAATAACTTTAACACACATATAAAAACCCAAAATAGTTCTTTTTGTGTAAATTTCATCATAAAGATACTCAAATAATGCCTTTTAACTGTTAAATAATATTACCAATGTACGACATTACATATTTCAATATTTAACTCTACCCGAACAGATTAGAATTTCAAAAGTAATAAGATTATAAAATGATTTAAAAGATGCTTTCAAGATTCTTCAAAAAGTAAATGATTCAATCTTATACCTTTTTCAGATATCGATATATTTACGAATATCCTGTATATCTTTACTTTAAAAACACCATTCCCAAAGCCTAATAAATATATTACGATAATAATCTAATAATAAATAAATAAATAAAAATGTAACTGACCGTCCAACATTGTGGCGTAGTCGTAATTCATCTGTAAGTCACATTTACTCTTTAAACATACACAAGACACGTCTACTACATCGCCATCACCGTAATTGTAGATCACAGAATGATGATGCTTTCGAGTATTTTGCTGTACATTGTTCACCAACAGTGCTACAGGAAAATCTGGATATAACAAAAAAGTAATTACTAGAAATCACAGTCATGTATATAAATTTACAAAAAAAAAGGATTGTACTCACCTTGGTTAATTTTACATTCGGATACCAATAACACTATTATTAATTTCAATTGTGTTTTTAACATTGTGATAATATGAAACTATTAATAATTTGTTTCGGTGTAGAAATACTTAAAACATATATGTATATTTTTAAATCTATTTTACCAGTTTGAAAAAAGAAACCATTTCACATTGACTTTGAAGTTGAGTACATTTTTAAACATGATAAACTTGCAAGATTGTCTATTACTGTTGCAATGCGTTGCAAAACTGGAACGTATTGTTGTAATATTTAGGTAAACTAAAATATATTTTGTAATGAGTATTTTTAGCCAATACTTATTTCCTCATGTCATGAGGAAATTGATTACAAATAATTTATTACAATTATTATTGTTGATGCTGTTTTGGCGATGAGGTGTTTTAAATGCCTGGCATCTCTTCCTACAAACCATGTCACAGTGGTCGATTGGTGTAGCCATAGCCGCGGAGCCCTCTTAAGTTCCTCCCGGCCAAACCGTTTGGGTGACCGAGACGGCTCCGTGGCAGTCGTCGGCTCTACGGCGGCTCATTCTCCGTCCTTGTCGCTAAGAGACAAGGACACTGGATATGTTGCTACCGAGTGGGTCACTGTATGTATATTGCTTCGACTGAGGAGGTCGACATGGTGGCTGGTTGCTTTCGTGATGCTATTACACAGATCTGTGATGCGGCCATGCTCCGCATCCGAGACGACGGAGAGAACAAGGAAGATGTTTTATTTTAATTTTAGAGGGGCAGACGAGCAGACGAGTCACCTGATGGAAAGTGACCATCGCCGCCGATGAACGTCTGCAACTCAGGAGTCACAAACGCGTCGCCGGCCTTTTAGAAAGGAGTACGCTCTTTTCTTGAAGGTTTGAAGGTCGTATCGGTCGGAGCCGGTCGCAAATCTTTTGGCTATCGATGATTCGAGTCGCTCTTCGTTGGATGCGGTCCAGAGGGAGAAGCTGGTACTGAGGTGCCCTTGCATAGAGGTGAGAACAGTATTCCATATGCAGCCGGACTTGCGCCTCATAGAGCTGAAGGCGGTGGGCCGGAGTGAAATACTGCCTCGACCTGTTCAGCACACCGAGCTTGTTGACGTTTGTTGACGCTAGTATGGCATCCGAATGTTTTCCTGAGTACTGGAAGAGCGGGAAGCTGTTAAGGAGGGCGGGCCTGCTGATTCGGTCGTGACCTACAGGCCCATCTTGTTACTGGACGAGGCGGGTAAATTGTTTGAGAGGACACTTTCTGCCCGCATCGTCCGCCACCTCTACGAAGAGGGCCCGATCTGTCGGACGCGCAATTCGATTTTCGAGCGGGGCGTTCGACGGTCGTCGCTGTGCTGTGACCGAAGAGGCGGTAGGCTGTGGCATCGCCAACGCGTTCAATAGTCTGCCATTCAGCTGCATCAGAGAAGCACTCTACTATCATAGGGTGCCAGAGTACCTGAGGCGTCAGATACCATGGTGAATGAAATGAGATGGTAATCTGAGGTGTCCCATGTCGTGCGGTGTTCCACAGGGGTCTGTTCTTGAACCCGTCTTGTGGAACATAGGGTACGACTGGGCTCTTCGAGTTTATTATTCACCCGGGCTGGGTGTAATTTGATATGCCGATGATACATAGGGCACGCCGGATATCGCCTAAATAGAGAAGGAAGTGGCCGCGCTTTTGGGGGCAGAGCGCTAGGAGGGGTCCGGATATCTTAATAATAGTAGTTCCCGGATCCCTCCTATTGCAGGCACAGAGTGGCACACCGTGTGGTTTTAGTCGGTCCGATTCCGACACACCAACTCACCGCAAACCCTGGTTTGGTGACGGCCCCAGGGGGTTTCCACACGTAAAAAAAAGTGTTTATGTCACGATTTCCTTTTTTTTAACTGCTATAGTCCTGCTGTCCTCCCTCAGTCAGCTCTTGCGACACCCACTGGGTGAATAGGGGTGGTGACACTTCGAATTCTTAATCCGTCACCATACGGATTCTAAGGTACTAGAGATCAGTATACATACGATACTGTAAATACCCGAATTTATGTATGTATATAAATATCTACCTATATTAACTCCTATATGCTCCGTAGAGTGATGGGTCTTCAATATTAGCCTGTTGGTCTAGTGGTTTGCCATCCTGACTGCCAAGCCAGATGTCATGGGTTGGATTCCCACTCAGGACAAATAATTGTGTTATAATAATGGATGGATGGATGGAATAAAAACACAATCAATTGTTATCATATCACTTATAAATCATATCATTACACCTGTGACAAATTTACAAAACCACTGCGACTTATGATTATGATTACGCTAGCGACTGACTCGTGATTTATGGCATTTGTCTTTGACTATGATTAAATCACAGTAGTGATATTTAAAATCGCAGTGTAACAGACCAATCAAGTCATCATATGATTGTAATATAAAATTTCTAATAATTCCCATCACTAATGATCACACACACAGAACAAATTTTATTCTGTCTGTTTGTAGTGTCTGTAATTTATTTATACTATCTATGTACTTAGACATTTACAAGTATGTTTATCAACAGTCTGGTAATCATAGTACAAGTGCTGCCTAGTTTGGGTCAGACTGCCGGGTGTGAGATGTGTGTTTGTTATTATTATTGTAGGGGTACAACGTGGGGGTCGTCTACCTGTTGTTGTAGATGGCCCGAGGTATGTCGGGGCACCAGTGACTTCTTTTCTAGGGTATACCTGGTTCCCCGGCTATTAGTGCCCGAGACGGCGTGCGGTTTTAGTCGGTTCGTGTCCGACATGCCACCGATACACCTATCGGTGGTGTAAATACCCTTTTTTTTTCCGTGCGTTAAAAAAAAGAGGTACAACGTATCTTACCTACTTACTTTCCTTTCATATGAAATGATTTAAATGTAAGTGTACAGTTCAGGTAGCGTAAGCAAAATATACTTGTTTAGAGGCGGCTCGCCGTTAAGTTACGTGAACACGTGTATACCTTTCATTTAAATGTCCTAAGAGTATTAGGGAACACAATAACAATTATTATCATACAATTTAAAAGTTAAAAGTGTATGAAATATAACCTAAGACGGTTTTTCCTTATCTATATATACTTTACACTTAACCCTATTTGGCAAAACATGCGTGTATTCACAACAGGAAGAAAACAGATCACGATTTATATTACATACTCGTAGCTGTGTTTAAATATAATTCTGGAGACGCTTTGTATTTCTCATCTTTGTACAGATTCTGATGTTGTTTTGTTTGGAAAATGTCCAATTGATCCTCAGATTATAAATATCTGCGAGGATTTGTTTCTATATTTAAAATTCATGGATGTGGGCTGTTTACATTGATTTTGACGAATGTTACATTTCTAAGTTTGTATACGCCATATATATGGCATGGAATATAACAAGAAGAAATATACTGAAGAGTTCTAGAAATTCTCTGTGCGATCAAGTCTTTTTTAGGGCATACGACTGGCATGTCGCAGAAATCCATAGCTGGCGATAGTCATTCGTTTGCCTCTAAACGTATGACTATCGCCAGCTATGGATATCTGTGACACAAAAATAACTAGTGCGTTATTGGGATATTATTCATTATTGTTCATTCATCCTTTCGCTCTCACACATCTGGAGCGATAATTATTGGTTTAAAACATGGCAACAATTGCTTGCAGCCCCTTTTTAACTGGCAACCAAGGGTTTTTGTGTACAGGAAATATTAAACATCATTTTGTTGTAATATTTATGAAATAAATAGAGGTCTGTAAATAATTATTAGTAATGTACCTGTTTGCACCTGGCTACCCAAAGGTTGCGGTTCACTGGGATAAGGCGACCATTATTTTTTGATTTCTTCACATCATATACTTTCAACTGACGTATAATTTAATAAAAAATAGATAGTTGCAATTTATGTAAATAAGTGAATTACACTAAGGGCCGGTATTTAATCCTCAGTTATACTGTCAGACAACTAACTTGGGAATAAATTGGTCCTGCTGTTTATCAAGCGAATAAACTTTTTCTGTTTTTCAATCGGGTATAAAACGACACATAGTTACTTGATTATCACAAGCTATTAGACAACATTTGTGTCATTCTTTTCTTGTCATTACGTGTCTATCAGATAATAAGATAACCTTATTGACGGTGGTAGTGACGGTAAACAATGGTTTAGTGGTTTGTGTAACGAACTGCTACTCGGAAGGTTTCTGGTTTGATCCCGCTCCATTCAAACAATTTGTGTATATTTACATTTAATTTATAAATTTTGTCTGGGTGTTTCTATGTATAATATGTATATATCTACAATTTTTTTAAATAGAATATTTATTTATTTCAGTTGTCTAGTACCCATAATACAAGCTCTGAGCTCTTAGTTTGAGACTAGATGGCTTATTATTATTAATTTATAGTATTATTATTTATTATTAGTGTACAAAAGAATCAATTAAGAAACAAGGCTTAAATTTCGAGAAATTGCATTTGCTAATAACTTGTAATGAAATTGTTCATAATCACACAAATTATTGTCATATCTATCTCTTGAAACCCTTTCTTTTCTCTCAGGACACAGCAAAATGTAAATACTCAATAAGGGCAACGTATATAAACTTTACTACAACAAATATTAGAGTTTCACTTTTCTACAGAAAATATGACCACGGGCCTGTTGGTCTAGTGGTTAGTGACCCTGACTGCTAAGCCAGAAGTCGTGGGTTCGATTCCCACCCAGGACAAATATTTGTGACAAACAACAAATATTTGGGACAAACATTTAGAAATATATAATTATGTTAGTATCAGCAGTCTGGTTACCATAGTACATGCTCTGCCTAGTTTGGGATCAGACAGCCGTGTGTGAGATATGTGAGGGTATTATTATGAGGGTACTATAACTGTGGCGCGAAACGACAGATAGAGTTATTTCTCAGATTTAAGTTTTATTCTTTAGATAATAGCTATCTGACCATTGAAATATCCAAAATTGTGGAATAAATGCTATCTCTGTTTATCTGAAGATTGAAAAACCGGCCCTAAATTTAATAACAAGTAATTGCT